CGAAAAGAGTATGTTCGATTTTTTTTACTTATAAGTGTAATTTTTTGAAAAAAATTGTTTTTATTGATAAGACATGTTTTACTGAGACACTGTGGGAAAGATATGTGAAGCGAGCTGACAAAATGAATTACTTCTCGGATTCAGACCTTAAGGAAATAGATACATAAAGGCTTACAGATGAAGTTTTTACAATTTATAAGTATGAAATAATAAAAAAAAACAGGTTATAGTTAAAGAATATTGCATCAATAGAAAATCTACAAATTTGACCCCAATGTCGATTTTTGGCCAAAATATTTATTTGTAGATCGTGAGATGTAATTCATTTATTTTGTCTGCACGCCACACATATGTAATGACGAATCAAACGAATGATTGTTAACTATTCGTGTTTTGTTCGTTTCGTGTACTCTACTAGTGCAGGTTTTGAGGAAATGTATTGATCCGGGGATACTCAGTGGCAGCAAGTGTCGAGACTTTTACTTTACTTACTTTTATCCGCCAGCTAGAAACAATAACATAATAATAAATCAATTCCCACCTCGAGCATTAATTTTGGTTCCCGTTCAGGCCACCAGATCTTTTTTTAGTAAGTGTTTTACTGCACTTGCAACACAATAAGGTCATACAAGTGCCGAAGATTAGAGGTGTTACAAGAGAGTAACAAGCACAAAAAAGAAGGAGGGGAGATAAAGACGATAGATGTATAATAGGAAAGAAGAAGCAAACCACACCAGAGCCCCCACCAACTACCCACATCGCCAGATCTAAATAAAACCCCAGAGTATTGTAGACAAAAGAAGCAACATGTATGTGGTACTCACGTAGCCGACCTTTTCAGTGGCGAGTTTGCGCGCTCATTGATGAGCTCGATGGTACTAACATTTTCGCTATCTGAGGAAACATTCGATACGATTGACTTGCTTTCCTTTTATCCGCCGCTTATACCCTTTTGGGTGTCGCGGGAAGAAAGAGACATCAGTCTGTCGCCAGCTGGACAGCTTCAGTCAGGGGGATGCCGTGGGTGGTTAATGTTTCCCTGACTCCATCTATCCAGGTCTTTCTCGGTCGCCCTCTAGCCTTGTTACAACTTTGCATATTCTAATTTTATTAATGTAGGCCCTATACTTGCATGTGTTATTTTTTTACCGTTTCTGTAAGCCCACGAAAAATTTCCAATAGGAACAATATATCAATATCGTATCTTATCTTATCTCGAGTGTATGCGTTTGAATTTGAAGAGTGGTTTTCCAAAACTCGGTAAGTCAATGTTAACCAGCGCCTGATTTCACCACGATGCTGAACATATCCACCCACATTCATTTCTTCGAGACAAGTATAGAACTATAAATCTGTATTATGTGTGTGTGTGTGTGTGTGTGTGTGTGTGTGTGTGTGTGTGCAGCATTGTGGTGAAATCAGGCGCTCGTCAAAACTGGCTTACAACGTTTTGAAAAACAACTCACCTTAGCAGTTGCGAGCGCGGTAAAACCCTATACTATACATATACATACAAAAACAACTCTTTATTGAATTTGACTTTGAAATCGCTTTTGTCTCGGGGATAATTAAAAGCTAGTAATTGTGTGACGTACTGACAATAGGCGGGATTCCCGAATAAAACTTCCACTTCCGATTGGAAGCACTAGATTATTTCTCAGTGAAGTAAAAGGTAGGCTTGTTAATTCTGCGCTGAAATAATAGAGAAAAAGAAATCTGTGGCAAGTATAATTTGTGAGACAGGGTGGTGGAATCAGGCTCTCATCAAAATAATCAAAGTGAAGAAACTTGCATTTTTCCGCAGGCTTGTGAATTTTTATCAAATATTTTTTTTTGGCTCAACACTTTTCATGCACATTGACAAACTCATTCCTGTGTGGATTTTTCTGAAAAAACGTTGATTAAAGGAACAAAAATGAAAATTTTCAGTTATCACGGACTCTTAAGCTTAGGAAATAACTAGTCTTTGGCGGCCATTTTCTCACTAATTTTACCTCTGAAAACAAATGACCCCCACCTCCACCCTTCGCAAATATCTCCTCTTGTATTCAAGATAAATGGACATTTTTTTCATCCAAATAAAGACAAGTGAACAAGCTTTAAGATGATACCAATAACTCTACATGCCCAAAAATTGACGAGAGCCTGATTCCACCACGCTGCCTCACATTTATTATCTCTTACAATTCCGTTTCAAGAAACAGCTGAATATATCATGAACCTCCCACGGTATTAGAACATAATAGTCATTGTCTTGTTAAAACCTCATAGTCTTCCTTTAAATAACAGTCTTTATCGGTGAAAATTAATAAATTCACCTTTTTGTGAAAGGTGTAACTTTCATGAAATTGAAAATGAATTTGACTATATTTTCTAATGTCCAAATTTCGTCCATCAAAGGAAACTCTTAATTCCTGTAAGCCTGACTCAGCCTAGTGACAGAAATATACAACGTTTGACCCATGATGAGATAATAAATATGCACAATCTGTACGTTTTCATTATGGAAACTTTATTTAACAACTGGGTGTCTTATATGATGTGATGAGGGCCAATGGCCTTAAACATTGAATAATAAACTTACTCACCGACTTACTACTAGAGGTGGGCAAAATCCGGATAATCTATAAGGAAAACCGGATACTTCTCAATGAAACGTTATCCGAATTCAGACTCTTAACTCTCTTTCCTGACCCGTTTGCCGAAGTGGGTGCACCCATGTGTTGAAGTAGTACTAACCCTTTTGCCGAAGCGGTTCATGTCATATTGTTTGCCGAAGAGGTGCACTAACATGGTATCCGGATTTTGTTAAAGCGACTCATTGCCCAGCCCTACTTACTACCCATCTCTGATGGCACCAAAGTCTACAGTGTTGAGAGCCCTGAAAACTGTTCGTTCAAACCAAGTAAGTTTACAAAGGCCTCATGCGAGATTTGAACCTAGGTCATTAACACTATTATAGCTGAACATGATACTAGCTGACCTCATAATAATAATACTAATAATAATACTAATACTAATAATAATAATAATAATACTAATGATACTACTACTACTACTACTACTACTACTACTACTACTACTACTACTACTACTACTACTACTACTACTACTACTACTACTACTACTACTACTACTACTACTACTACTACTACTACTACTACTACTACTACTACTACTACTACTACTACTACTACTACTACTACTACTACTACTACTACTACTACTACTACTACTACTAATAATAATAATAATAATGCTGCGTTTTGAAAATACAATAGCAAGTTTGTGGTTTTAACTCATACCTTGGCAGGCGTCCTAATACCTAGAAGCGCTCACTACCTATTTACATTTGATGCATTGTAATTCATTTGATACAGTCAGCACTGGCCACAATTTTCATTAGTGAAGCAATCTGACAAAATGAATTACCTCTCGGATTCAAACCTTAAGGAAATGGATACATCATGCTTACAGGTGAAGTTTTAACAATTTATAAGTATGAAATAATTAAAAACAGTTTATAGTTTAAGAATATGGCATCAATATAGAAAATCTACAAATTTGACCCTAATGTCGATTTTTGGCCAATATCTCCTTTTGTAGATCGCGAGATTTAACTCATATTATCAGCACGCCACACATTTATACAATATGTAGAAGGAGAACAATTTATTTGGTACGAAAAGGTCAAATTTTCCAAGATAAAAAACCAACTGATTATGATGGGTATGGGCAAGCGAGGGGGGGGGGTGTTAGGTTGGGGTTTCTTTAATTATTCTTTCTTTGGGTGGGGTGGGGTGGGGTGGGGCTGGGGTGGGGTGGGGACGAACATAAGCATTGTGATCGAAATATTCAAAGAGTTCTTTAAGGCAAGTAAGCACGAGTTGCATGTACACACTTCTGACACGCTCTAATAATGCAAGGATAATCTCCCTTGAAAAATAGTTCGGTTTCCGGAAGCGTCTCTTGTAGAGTTAAGTCAAAGAGGGAGATATCGTTCCAGACACATCTCACTACGTCAGAATGACAAAGTTCTGTCTGCTCAGTACCTAGTTTTGAGAAATTTGTCGCCAAAAGTTTTGATTTTCACAACTGTCAAGCTTTCTCGAAAGCAACTAGATCTAGTCGCTTTAAGCACAATGGGACTATCCCGAAAAAAACTATTTTGAGAAAATCGAGCGTAAAGTTTTTGAACCCTTGCTCAGTTTCCTTTAAACCAAGTAAATATGCACACCAATGAAACCAAACTTCTCTCACTTTTGGTGTAGGTCAAGATTTCTGGAAACTCCCGAAATCTGGGTTAGCCTGCTTGTCCTTAAAAGCGACCAATTAATTCTTCTTTGAATATCTTGATGCCGACTCCGAATAATCTTACGGTCTTGATTAGAGAAGATAGGACATTTGGTTTCTGACCTCATGGTCTTAATAAGTCAAAGCGACAAAATGTCAGATAAAGCTTTGTAATTCTGAGTTAGTGATTTGTCATAATATGTGAGGCAGCGCAGTGAACTCAAGCGCTCGTCAAAACAAAGAAAATGAAGAAATTGGCATCTTCCCGCCGGATTGACAATTTTCATTAAAGATTTGTTTTTTGGCTCAACACCTTTTGTGTCCATTTAAGAACCCAATTCAGTGTGGGTTTTTACTGGAAAAAAGTTGATTAAAGGCATAAAAAATGTAAATTGTTAGTTTTCACAGGCTCTCAGGCAATGTCAATAACCACATTTTGGCACCATTTTAACGCTAATTTTACCTCTGAAACCAAACGACCCCCACCTCCTTCAATTGCAAATATCTTGACTTGTATTCAAGATGAATGGGTTTTTTCGTTCATCGAAAGGAATATAAATGTACAAACTTTAAGGCGATATAACCCCCCCCCCAAAAAAAAACCCAACAACCTCCCCACCAAAACACCACATCCCCAAAAATTGACGAGCGCCTGATTCCACCACGCTGTGACACATAAATTGTCTCATTATTATCTGTTAGCTGGT